GAAATTAAAAATAAAAATAAATTTGAAAAAATTTAATTGTAAGATGTCTTATTTCCTCCAAAGACAAATAAGCTACAATTGAAAGACACTTTTTTCCTTGGGTCTCAGGAGGATATATATATATATATATATATATATATATATATATATATATATATATTTAACATTTATATTGAACATTTAAATTTAATATTTACATATAAACATATTATTTATATTTACTAATAGTAAGTAATATTTCAAATATTATACATACCAAAAAGTTGTGATGATCCTTAATACTGTTTATTTCTAGCTAAATGTAATTAAAGTGAACTAAATGTTGAAAAAGTGGCAAGTAAAAAAGTGCTTTAGTGACTTTACAAACGGTGCACAATAGTTTTTCACTTACCAGTGTGCTTCTCAAAGCGTCATAACAGGTGGATACATCTCCAGATGGTGAATCCTGTCTAAGGCAAATGTCCTGGATACAAAGAACCTACGATAAGCTACACCAGCATCACGAAAGAGCAACATTAGATCTACTACAGGAAAATGTGGAAGCTCTGAAATAAAGAAATAATACCATATTTCTGCATGTGATATTTGTCAATTAATACATCAAACCTCCTTATAATCCTACCATTTCTGTTTAATTTCCATGTTATTAGATATTTGTGTACTCTGTGATGAACTTCCAATGAATCTGTGATGATCTGTTGTAAATCAGTTTCAGTTGAATTAATCTGTCATAAACTGAACTTTGAGCTATTTCATTTTAAGTGTGAACATGCACAACACTGAATAGGTTAAGCAGGGCAGAAGCCACCATTGATGTTATTTTTGCACTTATCAGAGGCACATTGACATAGTCTGAGGCCTCTGGGCTATTTGAGTTGCAGAGGCTCCCCCACTACTGGAGGGGTGACGATGACAGAACTCGACCCCAGGGTCAGCTGGGGGAGGGGGTGGCGACAATAAAAGATGGGATGGGGTCAGGCAGATGTCTGGAGATTTGTACGTGCTGTGTTTCACTTACAGGTGTGCTTCTCACATCTTCATAGAAGGTGGAAACATCATCAGATGGTGAAGCCTGTCTAGAGCGCATGTCCTGGATACAAAGAACACACATTATTTTAGGCCAGAGTTATAAAAGAGCAGCGTTAGAATTCCATCGGAATGTATGCATGGTTACTTTTCTTCTTACACTGAACGAAAATGCAAGTGAACAGTAACACGACAAAAAACAAACACAAATTTCTTCTGTTCTCCAAAAGGTTACTAATATCTTGTTAGATGGGTAGATGAACACCGCTTCTGTATCCACACCACTCCACAGGGGCACCCCAACCATTCCATGTATCCATTTAATTTCACCACCAGCTCACTTACGTAACATAATTAGTGCGGTATTGATTAGCCAAGAATAGCATGGTGACAGTCAATAAGGATATATAAGTAATGGTTGGGGGTATGTTCCCTTTGCATTGGAATAATTGTGCCCAATTCATTTTCTTTTAATTTGTACATATCATTGTCCTTCTCAGTTCTCTGAATACTGAACGCTAAAATCCAAAAGTACATTATTCACTGCCAAAG